AAGGAGACTGAGTCTTAGAACGATGAGTGATGCTTGAATCTTGAAAAGACGAATGAACCAAGAATTTAGGCTTTATTCATTTTACAATGAAGCCGGAATGGCTTAAACATATAAAGGAAAAAAAGAGTGTTAATAGCGGTAGAGATATGAATATGACTAGATACGTATTATAAGAAAAGTTCACAACATTCACTGCGGCTTGAAAAGGAATGAGCCATTATGTCACGCTTCTCTGGTACGCAAATTGTAAGGCCGTACACGTTGTTGTTTTTCCAAAAGAATACGCCCGTTGTTCGTTTCAGTTGTATTTTCTTCACGAAGAATATTAGGATCAGTGGTCGCATCCCCATTTACTTGTTGCTCAGGAATTGCGTCGCCCTCCGGTATTGAATTTTCAACTTGATCTATATCTTCGCCTTTGGGTGCCAGATGATGAAGAGCAACTGTATCTTCACGTCCATTACCGAAGCGAACGTGAGCGAATTGCGGGTTACAATTCAATAGCTCCACCTCTTCAACCAGGGGATCGAATTTGGACTGACGAACACTCCGCCGGAGAAGTACTGGTCCTGGTACAGTGAGCCAAGTAGGAAGAGTTGTCCCAGATGTCGATCTTCGGTTATAGGTAAACAGTCGTTCGTGTGGCGTGGCGTTCGTTGCAGTACAGAGCAAAGATCTGATGGAATGCAAGGCGTCGAGTAGAACAGACTCCCATTGTGCCGTTGGTAGGCCCCGTGATCTTAATGCTAGAGTGATGGCACGCCAAAGTGTTCCATTGAGGCGCTCGACCTGCCCATTGGCTTGAGGATTGTATGAGGTAGTACGACTGGTTGCTACGCCTTTCTCCAGAAGAAATGCCCGTAATTCGGTAGACATGAAAGCAGCGCCTCTGTCGGTATGTATGTAAGAAGGCATACCGAAAATCGAAAACAGTTGGCAAAGGCAATTCATTACCGTTTGAGACGACATGTCGGGGCAGGCGAATGCAAAGGGGAATCGAGAATATTCATCGATCAGCGTGAGCAGATAGTGATTGCGGCTAGCTGACGGTAGAGGTCCTTTAAAGTCGATGCTTAACCTTTCAAAAGGTTGGGTTGCTTTTATGAGTTTGAAATTAGAGGGATTGTAAAATTGAGGCTTTAACTCACAGCATGTCACGCATTTACTGGTTACATTGCGCACCTCGTCAAGGGAGAATGGAAGGTTTCTCGAGCGTACAAAATGCATCATTCGGACAACTCCAGGATGGCACATAGAGTCATGGAGAAATTTCAAGTCGCACACTGACTGCAAGGAACCGCAGAAACTACGGGAAAATGTATCAGCAGCTTGATTATCCCTTCCAGGACGATAAATGATGTCATATTGATAAGGGGATAGCTCAATTCTCCAACGCATTATTTTATCGTTCTTGATTTTGCCTTTATGAATCTTGTCAAACATGAATGCTACTGAACGTTGATCAGTGACAAGTTTGAAGTGATTTCCGAGAAGGTAATGCTTCCACTTACGAATTGCTTCAACCACGGCATAGGCTTCTTTCTCAACCGATGAATGATGTTTCTCACTTCGAGAAAAGAAGGCGACAGGTTTACCATTCTGGTTTAATGTAGCTGCAATTGAGACATCTGAAGCATCTGTTTCAACAACAAGGGGTGCTTTCGGATCAACTACCACAACGACTGCACGTTCTAAGTCGTCTTTCAGTTTGTCAAAAGCATTTCGAGTTTCGATATCAAGAGGGAAAATCCGATTATTTACCAATGGGTGGATTTTATCTGAGAAGCGAGGGATCCACTGTGAATAATAAGCAAATAATCCAACGGCCCGTTGTTGAGATTTGATATCTGTGGGTGGTTCTAGATCACGAAGAGGTTTTAGCCGATCGGGATCTGGTTTAATAACCCCCTTTGAAACTTCATAACCGAGTAATTGTATGCTTCTGCTTGAGATCACACTTTTGGAATCATTAAGGGTTATTCCATAATTGCGTGCTGCTACCATAAACTTGTTTAGATTTTTGTCGTGTTCCTCCTGAGTTTTGCCGCAGATAGTGACATTGTCAATGTAGGCAAACGTGCTTGTGAGTTGTTCTTTACTGATCAATTCATCGATAATGCGTTGAAAACAAGCTACGCCATTGGTAACACCAAAAGGAATTCGGCAAAATTGGTAAAGTTTCCCACAAGCCTCGAAAGCAGTATATGGTTTATCTTCGTTCCTTAGGGCAATTTGATGATAAGCATTCTTCAGATCAAGAGTGCTGAATATGTCATATTGTGCGATTTTTTCTATCATTTCGTCAATCCTAGGTAATGGGTAAGCATCCAGAAAAGTGAATCGATTGATTGTCTGACTATAATCAACTACCATCCTCTTTTTATGGCGTTCGTTTGACGTAACAAGAACTTGAGCTCGCCAAGGAGAATTAGAAGGTTCAATAACACCTTCTTGCAGTAACCGGTTGACTTCGGTGGAAATAAAACTTTCATCTTCACGAGAATAACGCCGGGATTTTATCGCGATCGGTTTACAGTCTTTTGAAAGATTTTCAAACAGGTAGGCAGGTCGACGCGAACACAAGGTAGACCACAGAGAGAAAAAGGCGGCTTTGATCCCCCAAAAGGAATCTCAATGTGTTTGTGAAGTTTTAAAAAATCATGTCCAAGAAGGACGTCTGCACATAAATTATGAAGAATGGAAAATTTGAATAGATCATAAGTGTGGTTTTTATAGCAGATGGATAGAAACAATGTCCTTCAGTATGACTAGTAAGATTCGTACTCGCCATTGTGATTCTGTTTCGAGACTTATGGACTTTCCAGTTATACTTACGAACAACTGAGGAAGAGATGTAGCTCTCACTGCTTCCGGTATCCACTAGAGCTTGCATTGATTTCCCATTGACAGTAAGCTGCGTAACAGCATCAGTGAGACTTTGAGGTGCTGAAGCCACAACGAGAGATGAAATTATAGAGTTAACTGAAGATGGACCTTTTTTCGTAGATGGCGCAGACCTGCAAACCTTCTGAAAATGTCCTTGCTTGCCACAAGCTTTGCAAACTGCATCACGGGCGGGGCATTTGGAACGAGGATGTCTACGATTACCACAGAAAAAGCATTTGGATTCAACGGCAGCAATGGTTGTTTCATTGACGGAGGGTGTGGAATCTGATGAATGAGGTACATCATGTAAAGAAATGGACGCGCAAGGTGTAACAGGATTGTTGTATGACTGCGATTGTTGATGTGCCATCTCTAGAGCTCGTGCTTGATCGTATGCCGCTTGAAAAGTTAAAGTACGCTGTTCTAATAGCCTCTGGCGTATCATCGAAGACTGTATACCTGAGATGAATGAATCACGTAGAGATTCGTTACGATGTTCTTCGGCTGTAACTGCCTGAATGAACAATCTGTAGTCAGCGACTTGAGTCGACGAACAAACTGATCCAGATTTTCGCCAGATTCTTGTTTACACGTTGCTAACAAGTGTCGAGCAAACACTTCGTTGCAAGGCTGCATGTAGAGACTCTTGAGAGTGTCGATAGCTTCTTCGTATGTTTTGCATTCAGAAATGCATTCGTATACAGAAGTAGAAATATGATTGAAGAGAATATGTAGTTTCGAAGGATTTTCGGATCCCATTGATTCAATGAAGTAGGAAAAAGTCGCAAACCAGTGATCCCACTTCTTGGCAGCTCCAACTGCGTTAGGTTCTACGTCGAACCGATCAGGTCGGAAAAATCGTTCCATGAATATTGTAAAATGAATAAATTGTTACGAAGGTGATTGAGTCTTAGAACGATGAGTGATGCTTGAATCTTGAAAAGACGAATGAACCAAGAATTTAGGCTTTATTCATTTTACAATGAAGCCGGAATGGCTTAAACGTATAAAGGGAAAAAGAGTGTTAATAGCGGTAGAGATATGAATATGATTAGATACGTAATATAAGAAAAGCTCACAACAATGTGCACGTACCGGTAGCGAAATCAGGCAGTTTATCCTGACGTTTTCCGAGTGGTTGTAAAGAGACTGCTTACCTCTGGTGTGTTGAATGCTCATTTTACTGCATTCTCTTAGGACGTTGTGTTACTATTTTGCTGACGTTATATCACCAAGGAAGTGTACTTTTTAGTGAAGAAGGCTTTATTTTGAGCTGTTACCGTACTAATTATTTACTTCCCTTGGCACGAAATTCATATCTCTGTCAATCAGCTTATCTGATTGACCAATTTCACTGAGTAATTCTCTGATAATCTTGAACTCCTCATTGAGAGAGAGTCGTTTGAACATCTTAACAACTGTTGTTTATCAGTATCCCGAGGATATCAACCAATCAACCAAATTCGTACAAACCAATACTTGAATATCAATGAAATGCTCACTAGCGACTGGCCCTATTCAAGTAGGATGCAGCAGGTCGGGTGTGAGGACAAATACTCGCCGAAGATATTGGCTAGTGGTTGCGTTATATCATAAATTGGCAGAAGTTAGGATTCATGGGCTGGCCATTGGATCGGGTCCTAGTAGCTTAATCGTCTATGAGCTCGCTAGTCTTATAACCAGAAGGTCCTGGGTTCGACCCCCTGTGGTGGGTGTATACTGCTGAAGAGTTTCAAACTAGGACGGAGTAAACGGCTGTCCAGTAATCCCAGGTTTTCCAATGGTTCTCTAACTATTGTCAGATCATGATGTAATCCTGTAACCAATCAAATCCTTACCAACCAACACTTGAATAACAATTTAGAAATTTGTGTAGTGGATGTTTTCACATGTAGTCCGTGTATACTCGTCGGTGTAAATAACAAGCAAATTTGTTTGTTGCTGTGCATGCTGCAATTGTGATCGACCCACCGGTGTGCCACATTCCAGCTGGAGTTGGCTGTTGATTGAACTAACTAACCAACTAACTCATAATTTTTTTATCATTTGTTTTATTCCCCTCAAAGCTGTCAAACTTTATTTATTTTGTTGTTGTTCTTTTTAATGTTTTCCAGTCCAGTTTAGAACAAATACCTCTTCAATTTGGTCCTGGTCGAGTAACCAAAGTAATGCAAAGCTTAGTCACGCATTTAATTCGTGCTGCCTATAAGCCTGTCCGCGTACTACGCATGTTTGAAGCTGATTGGGTCACTGATATAACATCAATTTTTAATGGTCGTAATTCATCCTCAACGTTACTATTAAACACAATTAGCGGTAATTGTTGTACTGGACTGACTGAAGCCAATAGTAGTAGTAGTAGTAATAATGTTCGTGTTCTGCGTCCTAATCTCTATCATCAGCATCCGGCATTTCAGCAGGCTAAAAAAGAGGCCATAGAACAGTGTCGTCCAGATATGGAGATTGTGATAGTTAGTGTTCGATGTCCTCGTCGAGGGATAAAAATTTCAGTGCCAGTGGAGGTTTGCAGGCGTAGAAGAGCAGTAGAAGAATACTGTCGACAGGTAAGGCCTAGTTTCCTTTTCTAGTAATAATGATGATGATGAGTCAATATTTTTGTTTTTAGTTTATTTCTTGCTTTTTGTAACAAAAGTGATGGCGAATACCAAACATGCACGCATCGTCTAAACTGACATCTGTCTTTCTTTCGTAGATGAATACAAGTACTGCATCAATTTTTGAGGTCCTCTTTTTACCTTAGGTTTGTATTATTATTCCCTTGGATTCTACAGTACTGTTCAGATAATCATCTGTTCCTGGTCAGCATTAACTTTAGGGACAAAGAGAGACATTGCGTAACCTGGCGACCTCCATCACTAATTCAACGTTGAACTCAAACAGACCACATAGCGATAGATTATCGTTAGCGAGGGTCAGTAGAAGACTGCCGCTCCTTCTGGAGCATGTGCTTAGACTCCAATCACGTGCTGGTTCACACACGTTTATACTTACGACTAAACGAATATAAAAAATTGTTGGTGGCGAAGCATTTAAGTCCTCAACTGGATCAAAACACTGAGTCCCTATTTAAGGAGGAAATAGCGAAACAAGTATCTGAAGTCGACAGCAAGACTCCTCATGAGGCACAGCCTGGCATACCATATAGTTAGCTGTAAAGGCTGTTAATAACCTGAAACCAAAAGTTAGCAAGTGCGAATGGACTTCTACTACCTCATGCGAACTGATTGACGCAAGAAGACTAATTCTGGCGAGCTCTGAATATGATGAGGAGCGAAAGCTGCTCAAACGCAAACTAACAAGAAGCCTTCGTAACGACCGTAAACTTTGGTGGGTGACGAAAGCGAAAGAAATGGAAAAGGTATCAGCGATTGGTAATACCAGACAATTATTTATACTTACTTATCAGGGAAACAGATGGTGAAAGACAAACGATAAGTGAAGCAATCTCTGAGAAAAATGGCACCATAATTGGCTCTCAGGATAGACGACTGGAAAGAGCACTATGAGGAGCAGTTTAATTGGCCTACAGCCATGCTCAACCTGCCGAACATCCAACACCTGCCTGAATGGGATATAGACACAGGTCCTCCGTCCCTAACTGAGGTTACTAAAGCTGTCACTAGTCTCAAACGAGGCAAAGTAGCAGGACCTGATGGAATGACTCCAGAGATATTTAAGTACAGTGGAGACAGTTTACTGTCTGCATTAACTGAGATTACTAGGCAGCGTCTGAGAATCAGAGGAAGTCCCGTCGGGTTGGTGTAAGTCACTGATTATCCCGATATACAAGAAGGGAGACAAGTCTTCCTGTGATAATCACAGAGGGATTAGCTTGACTAATGTGGTATCTAAAGTCCTAGGCTCAATAATCATGCGTAGACTGAGTGGTGCTTGGGAGGCACAAACACGAGACAGCCAGGCAGGCTTTAGACCAGGAAGAGGGTGTATCGATCATATCTTCACCCTTTGACAGATTCTGGAACATTGGCATACTCACAGGCATCGAACAATCGTCATATTTCTTACTCTGAAATCAAGGCCGTCCACCGAGAGGTACTTTGGCGATGTGTTTGGCTGTGAAGGCTGATCAAGGTACTCACTCTACTCAAACTCATGCAGTCAACCAAGTGAGAGACTACGGAGAGTTATCATCTCAAGTGTGGTGTCCATCAGGAATGGATGGTGACTGTCTCCATTTCTATTTAACTTCATCATATATGTACTAATGAACTTAACCCTAAATGACTTCAGCGACTCGGGGATTGACTTGTTACCATCACGGAATCATCTCGTTGGCTTATAATATGCAAATCATATACTACTCCCTCGTAGGTGAAAAGCTTAACAAGGTGCAAAGTCTTCTGAACACCTTGAGGAGCAGGAATCTTCGAATATTTGGCACGCGATTCACCTGTTCCCGTCAAATGTGTCAGATGATGCTACAGGACTGGACTGGACCACATCGACTCACTCCTGGGTTAAAATACGCAGAATTGAAGTGGTTCGTGGAGTGTGTTGATCGTTGACTAAATCGCAACACGTATAAAGAAGGCTCGTTTGGCACATGCCAACCAACCTACGCCATCTCTGGCGTCGACATGATATCCTGTTGGCTATCGACCGAAGGACGTGTGTACCGTCCATCGATCCGCCTATCTTCCTTTATGGCTCTGAGACATGGCCATTGAAAGTAGAAGACATGAATTCATTTTTATTATTTTTATTTTTGATTACATCTTGATTCCACACTGTATTTTTTGGTACAGGTATGGAATTTTCAGCATGCTATATTGGTAGCCCAAATTTTTCAGGCCGACCATAGATATCAGGTGTGCGTCGGTAGGGGGGCAAACCTTGGACTATGTGCATGGTCGGCGAGAGTCCTAAACACTGTGCCACCGACGCTACCTGTCTTTGATCATAGGTGTCTGCGTTCTGTCTCGTGTGTGTGTGTGTGTGTTAGGTGGTATAATAGGATGAGTAAAATTGAGGTTAGGCTTCGGTCGAATGTTGGGTGAGTTGGGGAAGTCAGTCGACGAGGTTGTGAAGCAGCTGCATTGATTGGGATGGTTAGACTATATGTTAAGCATTCCTAGCCATCACCTTCGTCGAAAGATCATGTTAGCTGACACATGAGTCGAATGGAGAAGAGCTAGTAGTGGTCAAACCAAAACATGGCTTCATTGGTCAATGAAATCCGCAACAGCTAGTTTAAGCCAGCCTCAAAGGGAGGTGTAGATTTCCTAGTCGGGGTCCTCGAGATGCTTGTTTACACGTTCACTTATGTATTTTTCTCTGTTGTTTTTTTCTCAAATTAAACATATCTAACCACATTAACCTCATGGTTTTTTCTCTTCTATATTTCCTCTCTTCACAGATATCTCTTGTTTTTGAAGCCTGTCCACATCTTCTCAGTCTTGTTCCGCCTTCTACATCCGATGAAGTGAAATCATTATCAAATATCACTGGAATAGATACTGATCGTTTATTTCTTAATAAACAAACACAAATCACATTTGAAAATATCACTTCTACAACTCATGATTGTCCTTCATTTTGTAATATACGTCTACGTTCACGTTATTTCGATCGTCTTCCAGGCTGGAAAAAGCGGTTAACAGCTCTACGTACATTTACAGATTCATCATCTACTCTTAATGCAGAGCATAATCGTAGTATTTCAGGAGCTGCCGGTGGACATGTTACTCGATCAACAATGGCATTACAACAAAATAACCTAAATGGAATAACAACAATTAATAGATATGAAACACAATCCAATTCACATACTTCATCATCCAATACTAATAATGTTGTACGCAGAGGGAAACGTAAGTATCGAAACACTTCACGCACCTCTGTTGGATGTCGTAGTTCTGAGAAAATGATGTCAAATGGTTTAGAAAATACGAAAAATGGTCCGACAGGATGTAAACGTCGTGGACGGCCAAAACGTGTGACAAAGTCTGCTGAAACTTCAGAGTTAGTTCAGGGCAACTGTCAGACAGTGTCATCGTCCTCCTCCTCATCCTCATCTTCTTCTTCTTCTCGTGAATTTCCCAACCCCACAACTACTACGCCTAGTCTTCCTATCTGTAATACTGGTACTGTCAATAAATCCTCCCAAAATGTACATATCCCCTGTGTCTCTAATCCTCACGATATATGCCAACCTAGCCATTCATCAACAGCAGTTCCTTCAAGTTATTGTCCAGCTTTACAGACCATTCCAAATTGTTCAGATAGGAATGGCCTAGAATTGATGAATACAACCGCGGCTGTCGCTGCTGCCGCCTCCACAACAACAACAACAACAACAACTGCTCAACTACCTCTGCGTAATAGTAATTCTCCAGTAATGGAAGGAGGTATAAATGCCTTGTTCAGTAATATACCTAGAGTTGTTTTATCCAGTAATCCAATGTTTTGGACTCCAGTTGACTTGGCCGGCTATCTTGGCAATACTGACTGTCGAGATATGTGGCCATGGCTTGCAGCTGAAGCTGTAGACGGACAAGCATTTATGCTGTTGACTCTGCCTGTTTTGCATAGACTGGTTGGACTGCGTTGGAATGACGCTGTCCGCCTGGCGCGTCACGTGTTATCTGTAAAACAAGCCTTTCTAGAACAATACAGTATGAATAGTCATTCAAATGAAACATATCAACAGTCACATGAAACCAGATAATGCATGCAATCATTCATTCAAGCATTCATTGTTTTTGCCTTTTCTGTATTTTCTTTTTTTTTGTATTTAAGTTGCTGCAGTGAGGCGGGGGGGGGGTGGGCATTGGTTAGACGTCTATCAGTCTGTATTGCTAACGTTTAAATATTTTTTTATGATGCATACCTACACTACACTCGTTTGTTGTACCTCTACCACTCAACTAGTCTTTCTAATATCCGCAATAAGGTTTTGTTTATACTTCTTACCTCCCCTATCCCCCTGCTCGGCCTTTTTGTATATATATATATATATATGCATATATGTATCCTTCAATATTACTGAAATAGATAAAGTTTTTATATGACTGTGATGGCTTGTATATACGATAGTTTCTCTCTTTCTCTCTCTCTCTCTCACACACAAACACACAATATTTCTCCTTACTCTTAGCTTAATTCAATGACTGTTCCCCGTGTTTCTTCTTTTTTGTTTGATTTTTCCCTTGATATTCGTTTCTATTTTATGTATAGCTGAATGTGTCTTGTATGATATTAATTGATACTAATTTGTACATTAAAGGTTTATACATATGCATAATGGAAAGAAAGAGAAGTTTCAAATTTATGCTGTTTATTATAGTTTGACACAACCACAGAAGAGAATCCTGGGGACAACAGTTGGCTTCAAGTTGTCTCCGTTGCAAGCGCTAAGTTGGGATGTGAAATTTTCGACTTCGACCTCACCCCCCCCGAAACTCTTATCTTACAGAATGGGAAGACAAACTAAGCTGGCTGTCTAAGAGATACATCTTACTGTCTGTTACACTGACTATTCACCCCCCTGCAGTACAACTTCACCATTATTATTATTATTTCCTTTAATTCCTAGATAGAACATAGGGCTTCAGTCGCGCGTCTCCATTGCGTTCGGTTCTCTGTCAATGTTTTCACCCCGCTCTAAGTCACCCTTGCACTGACGACCAACTCGCCGCTTCCTTTTCGGATTCCAATCGAGCAATGACTTGTCTAGTGATGTCACTTGATGGTTTATTTCTTCAGAGTATGGCCAATCCATCTCCATTTCTTCCTGTCTATTTGTTTCACAATCGGTTCCTGCTGGGTTGGTTCGCTCATTGCCAGATATCCCTGTTGCTGATCTTTTCTGACTGGCCATCTGATCTTGAGTATTGAGCAAAGACAGCTGTTGATGAAGGTCTGTAGTTTGTTTGAGGTGCTCTTCATGACACGCCAAGTCTCTCATCGGTTTAGTAGCATTGACTTTACATTGGAGTTGAAAATCCGGATCTTACTTTTGATGCAGAGTGCTGTTGATCTCCACACAGACTTGAGAGTAATGGAAGCTTGTCTTGCTTTCCAGATTCTTGCTTTGATATCCTCGTCAGATCCGCCTGTAGTTGAAACGATGCTTCCCAGGTAGGCAGGTGAAGGAGATTGTTTCTTTCAGGTTCCTCCCATTTATGCTGATTGTTGGCCAGGAATCTTCATCACCTCTGTTTTATATATGTTCACTTGAAGTCCTATCTTTGATGCTTCTTCTGCCAGCTTGTTGCTTTTCACTTGCATATCTTCCAGTTTGTTGGAAATCAGACATATATCATCATCGGCGAAGTCCAGATCCTCCAAGTTGTTTTTGTGTGGGTCCATGTTATGCCTCTTTCCTCATTGCCCGTTGTCTGTCGCATTATCAAATCTACTGCTGTCAGGAAAATCATTGGTGATAATAGACATCCTTGCCTTACTCCCGTCCTCACTTCGAGGGATTCCGTAAGTTTCCCGTTGTGGATTACTTGGCATGCAGCAGTGTCGTACAACTGTTGGATGAGATGTATAATTGTCGATGGCACCCCGTAGTAGCGAAGTAGTTGCCAGATCACCTCTCAATCGACACTATCGAAGGCTTTTTCAAAGTCGAGATAGAGAAGTGACTGCCATTCCAAGCTCTGTTCATTGATGATCCGTATTGCTTCGATTTGAACAATGCATTACTTGTTTCCCCTGAATCCAGCCTTTTCCGGTCGAATTTTTTCATCCAGAGCGTGTTTGATTCTCTAGGATGATGAGGCCTAGTATTTTGCTTGGGATGGACAGTAGCATAATACTTCTCCAGTTCTTGGATTGACTTAAGTCTCCTTTCTTTGGTAATTTGAATAAGTGTCCCTTCTTCCAATCCTCAAGTACTTTGCCCTCTTTCCACACCTTCTCCAGCAATGGCGTCATCAAGTTCGCTGTTGTCTCTGGGTTCATTTTCAATGCTTCTGCTGGGATTCCATCTGGTCCTGCTGCTTTTCAAGCTTTAAGCATCTTGATTGCATTCAGGACTTCTGATTTCGTCGGTGGGTCAATGTTCACTGGTAGTTCTGCTTCCGTTGTTAATATTATTGGGCGCGTTGTAGGTGGCAGTCGATTTAGAAGTCTTTTGAGGTGTTCAGCCCAGTGTTTCCTTTGCTACACCTCTTTGGTGATTGACTTTCCACCATCATCCTTCACTGACTTGATTTGTGTCCAACTTTTCCCCTATAGGCGCATAGTTGTTTGGTAGAGTGTTGCGAGATCTCATACCTAATGTAGGTAAATTCAGTCTTAATAGGGTAAGTTTATATAATTGGTGGATGGTGGCTAGCAGTGGAATCCAGCATGCGCATTTCGTCCTATTTCGGACTCGTCAGCTGGATGTACCTGCATTCCTCAGTGCTAGCCACCATCCACCAATTGTATACTAATTAAATGCCCAGACATCGTCGAAGCATCTGCACAAGAAGCCGACATGTCAACCTGAGACCGAGCACTCCGGTCCAATCAATCGACGGGAAAATCAAAAATTCAATTCAATATGTTTATATAAGCCAGTAAATAAGTGGAATAATGCAATGAAACTTACATGCCGAGCTGCTTCTTGGCATCATCACTTATGTAAATAACCTTAACGCAATCTTTTCATCACTTTTTTTCTGGCTGATTGGTTTTGACTTGTTACCAAGGAATAATCTCGATGATATATATAGTCCTCCTAAGTGAAGACGCTGACAAAGTGCAAAGTCTTCTAAACACCTGGAGGAGCAGAAATCTTCGAATATTTGGCATACGATTCACCTGTTCCTTTCAAATGTATGATGATGCTACAGGCCGACCATAGATATCGGATGTGCGTCGGCAGGAGATCGAACCTCAGACCATGTGCATGGTCGGCGAGAGTCCTAACCACTGTGCCACCGACGCATTCGGTTGAGAAATCGTGATGAACACTAATGGTTATCGCACCAGTATACGGTTAAATGGCTCAAGTGAATTGCATAGATTCGCCTAATATATCTTTTCTCTGCACTATGTTCATAGTTAGATGATGTCATAGTGTGGTGAGAGCTGGCTGCTATCCGAATTGGCAGATATTAATTTACGTCAGTGTTTATGTCCCAAATATTGGTCATGAGAAAAATAAGAACAAAGACCAATTCAACAACCAACCACAGCAGAATTTGCAGGTAGATAACCTGAACTTCAAGAAACGGCCAGAAAGAGATGAAAGATTAACGTTCAGCGAGAAACCACCAATCAGAAGACTGTGTTTGTTTGCTTACAATAATCTATAATAATGTACATGATAATATATAAATACGTGTTGATTTCCTTAATAAACGATCTTTTGTCTGACCCTTGTCTTCTGTTGTTACAATAGTATATCTCGCCCAATCAAATCAAATGCTGCCTTCAAGTCAAGAAGTAAGACAAGTTTTGATTAGCCATAAATAGGCCAGTGTTTCAGAACCTTCCAGTGAGTGAAAATATCTGTCTGTTCGCCTTCTAGTTGGTCTTTCCCCCATTGCATTCAACCGTTTATCTCATATCTAACACCTTCAATAGCCATATGTCTGTCGTACACAGTAGAATGCAGAGAACTGTTCTACTGCGAGCACACTTTTTCAGTAGTCAGATATCCCTTCAGCAAAAAAGAGGACTCAAGTTTAACAAATGTATGATGAGTCCCTTTTATATCTATTCTGAGACTTCACCAGTAGCTGTTCTGTTAAGAGACCAATCAAACATTCCAGATTAGTGAAGAAGTCTATACATAATTGGTTGAAGTGGACGATATAGAAACGACAAAAGATGACAGTTAATTAGTTGGTCAGAGTTTTACGAGATGTAGAGTAATATCACATAGGATGGAGGGAGGGACTTAGATATCGAACTTCCTGATAAAAAGTTATGTCATAACAGAGGATTACTGATTTCTGGTTGTCGTCACACTTGACTAGAATACGCCTCCGTACAGGACACTATAACCAGTTGATCTCTTGAAAATACTCCCCACACTGAGACCACCACAAAAGTCAGATGTGATAACGTTTTATTATTCAAAATACAGGGTATATGTAGTTTACAAATCCTTGAAAATTTAAGCCATATGTAAATAATCAGTATCTGATTGGTTGAAAATTTCCGGAAATCCAGGCCAAAAATAAACCAGTCAAAAACTGACCAATCAAGTTGACATGTCAGTGCGTGCATCAGTCATGACTGCAAAGCTTACAACGATAGGTTGTCCGTCCTAACGGATATCTGCTTCTTATCCTCACAATCCGGTCACTTTTGCGATTATGTACCATTCTATTTTGTCATCTGACTTTTTATAACTGATATAAAATGTTTAGGTAGTGCCCACCACTCCCTGGAATAAACACGGCGTATTCTGTCTCAGTTCAAATAAACTCGAAGAATTCCAGGCGAAAACCAACAATCTGCAAGAAGAGGCTGCAAGCGAAGGCAGGACTCCAGATGAATATAGAGAGGACGGAGGTAATGAAGTTAACTAACCAACAATAACCAACACCTATCATTGTCAACAGAATAAACTTGAAAGAGATCACTTTCTTCACTTATTTAGGAAACATTGTTTCAATTACAGCCGGAAGCGATGAAGACATCAAAAACACAATCAGAAGAGCAAGGCACACCTTCATCACTCTGAAATCAGTGCAGAAATCCTCTGTACTCGACATGAACAACAAAACTCGGGTTTTCGACACCGGTTGTTAAGCCTGTCACTTCTGTGTGGATCAGGAACTTATTGCATCATGAAGATCCTTTCCAACAGCCTGTTTGCAGGCTTTTATCAACAGCTGCCTTTATTGAAGCCATACTGTAGATAAAATAGCCGGAGAGAATCAGCAACAATAAACTCTGGGAAGGAACCTATCGCTCAACGAATATTCCGAATGGAATGGAGATGAGTAGGGCGCACGTACACTGAGGAGATCGTCGATTGACATCGCACTCAAGGTCATCATCAATAGAGTGGAACCAGAATAAGAAAGGATGAGTGGGGTCTGGGTCCAAGGGTAACATGGAGGAGGTCGTGTGTGGAAATGGATGAAAGATGATGGACAATAGTGGGACCAGTGCTAAAGAGGATCACACAGAGAATAGGACAAAGAGGAGAACTGCTTCTGTGTTCACACAGAACTCAAGGGAACAATCATAATAATAATAGTTGTAGGGCAGGTATTCCCATGTTTCGCCGCAATACTGGTTCATTCAGTCTCATTGATATCAAATCTATCTCTTCGCTGTTTGACATTTGGCGTACACATCAACAAAAGCATCTCCAACAGCCTGTTGAAAACTTTCATCCATAGCTACCTTCACTCGATACTGAAGATCAGATCAGGTTGTCGGTAAGAAAGGATGGACAACTGGGGAATATGGCAACGATAAACTGGTCAGGAACATTTCACCTGAAGAAATCTGTAGAAAGAAATAAAGATGGAATATACACATTGGGTCATAGGAGTTATTTAGAAGATAGTTGCAGCGAAGAAAATTTTCTTTTCGACGAAGTCAACATCTAGGCAGTATATTCGTGTATTTGTATCAAATGTCTGGAAAAGTTCCAGAATAATTTCCGGTTAAGGGTCAAATTATTAAAAATTACAATTAAGAATTAAAATCCCATAATAAACAGAGGGACGGATAAAATTTAAAAAACAGCATCATAATTACTGAGAAGATTGACGTGTTGTGCAATTAGGAGTTAGAATTTTTAGAAATAACAAAATAGACAGGATGTTTGGATAAAAAAACTAATGTGATGAATAATTGTTTATGCAATCAGGGATTAAATATGTAGAAATAGTAAAATGACAAAATAAACAAACACGAAGTTGGGATATGAAAATATGGTAGTGTTAAACAGGGATTAAGAAAAACTTACAAATAACATGAATAAA